GGGGGGGGGGGGGGGGGGGGGGGGGGGGGGGGGGGGGCTCAGAGGAGGGGTGCAAAAAGAAAACACAACTGAGATGCTCTCCTGCACGTTCCTTCCGCTCAAGTTTAACATGGGATTGATTGGACTGCAGCCCTGGTGCAACCCCCCCCCCCCCATTCCCACCACCACCACCACTACCACCCTTCCCCGGTCTTATCAGGCGCAGAGTATTTGCTGGATAAGCGGGAGAGTGCGCTCTAAGAGGATAAAGTCACACAAGCAAGTCTCCTAACCTTTTGTCACGCAACTGAGGCGCAGTCCTGAGAAATTCGGCGGCTAATTCTGGACGCGGTTTTACGTCATTTCCTGTCAGCTGTCAGCTGAGAGTTGCAGGTGCACTGAGCTTGGTTTAGGCCCAAAGGCGCAGCCATAAGTTTTGGATCTGAATCTGAGACTTTATGTGCTGGGAAGGGGGGGGGGGGGGGGCGTTAATGCACTTAACGAACCGTGGCAATGAGACTGAAATGAGATGGATTTGTGACGTCATAAAGTAAAAATATTACTTTGCCAGCAAATAATTGCATATATCTTGGAATCCCATTTGAAGCTGATGGACTTCGACGCTTGTTCCACCCCCAGCTGGGCGTTGAATCACAAAGAGTCTTCAAACCGTGGCGTTTGTGATGCATGACGCGCATGCATGCTTCACGAGCTCATTTTTGTTGTTGTTGTTGTTTGTGTTTTAGTTTTTCTTTATTTGATTAATAGGGGACGTTTATGATCGTGAACATTTAGCCCGGAGGCATTTTTTTTAAATTGGTCATAAAGAGACGAAGCCGAATAAATAAACTCCATTCAGAGAAACGGTGCCGGGAAAATAAAATAAATTAAAAAAATTAATAGTGTCACGTTTACAATCAGTCCATTATTTACCCCCCTCCCAGACACACATCCACCTTTTCATTTTCTTTTAAGCCTTGCGCTGAAAGACAATCAATTAGGGTGGCCAACAAGAGGCGGCGGCAGTTCCCCAACATCTGGCGGGGTGTCAGAAACTTGATGAATTCCTTATCAGGGCGCGCGCAGGAATCAGCGCTAATAGGTCCCCGGAGTGGGGTGGGGGGTGGGGGTGGGGGGCGCTGGCAAACGCTCATTCAGCAAAGCAGATGTTCAGCAATTGTGCTCTGCGTTTGTCTTTTGACAGATGTGTTTTTTCGGCACTTTTCGGGCTTGGTGCGTAAATGAGCAATTGTTTCCCACCGATGCTCTGTCCTCAAGCTCCCTCACCAAACAGGCCATATGTAACAAGAAATAACCCCCTACTGAAAGGAAAAAGGTGGGGGCGGGGGGCTAGTTAGTTTTATGAATCAT